ATTTCGTCTGACGACGGGTTGGTGTCACCAGCTCGAAAATTTACGAGTACAACTCAATTTTTCCGACGAGCCTTCTCTCTTCATAAATATATATATATATATATATATATATATATGCAAAATGGTATTACCGAAAAAAAAGGAGGACTGGAATGGCCATTTCCAAACTATTAGCCGTCGTCAGCCAATCATACCCGACCCCGAAGTGTGGAACATTCGGGGATCGATCTCGCGCCTCTCTACCATTGTACATTCCTAGTCGCGACCGACCGGACAACGAGCCTGTGGTTCAGTGGCTAGAGGCGTTGGACTTCTAACCAACATGTCGCAGGATGGATCGTCAGGCGTTCCACACTTCATGGTTGGGTATGACTGGCTAACGACGTCTTATAAGCCTGAAATGGCCATTCCAGTCTCCCTTGTCTTTGTCTGTAAGGTTATTCTGCATATATAGGTATATAATGCATCATGCAAAGAGGGCTCACTGAGCAGGTCACAGGACATGCCCATCGTTTTCGGCCTTGGGATTCAATCTAGGGTCCTTGAAGGCAGTCGCAATGGAACGAGCAGGTCTCATAACCAGACCAACCAGGAGCCTTCCCGCAATGGTTAGTATTCTCGATTGTAAACGACAGGAAAACGCACACGTAACTAGATGCTAGAGCGTTAGACCTAGTCTCCACTGATCGAAGAGTCCAGATTTCAATTACAGGTTCCCAAGGCCTGGGATTAAATATAACTGGATGACGATGGCTAGTGAGCCAGAAGTGGCCATGTCAGGTTTCCTGGTGTCTACATCTGTCCTATCCTGAATCTGTATATGACAATGGGGTAACGAGGTTTTCTGATCAGGTTACGAGACACGCAGGTGCCGATGCACCGCCAGGAATAGATACAGGGAACGGCATGTCTGGCAACTTCATCGATGAACCTCTTCCTGCCATCACCTATAGTTCCAAACCGGCGGGGCGATATAGCCTTGGTGTATTTGTAGAATAGCTGTCTTGTACACACATTACTACAAAGGATCCCAGGTTCGTATTCTAAGCCTCGCAAATCTTGGGTTGAGTAGGATTGGCTGATGATGGCAAATAAGCCAGAAACGGATATTTTGGTCTCCCTGTCGTCCCCCCGCCACGTCCGGAAACCTGAAATGTACTGGAGTACAACTACTTCCTTCTCTGACACGTATAAATGTGATGGCCGGCCATGTTATTTACTGAAGTACTCAGCACGTATCACGTCTATGTCCACGGATTCTGCGCGGATCCCGCTGATATTTAGCAATTAAAAGAACTGCACTATTACGAGAAACTGGCCCAACTTACTGTAAAATGTCGACGAAGACATCTGACGCTGTGAGACCAGCCACAGAAGGAAGTACAACAGTAGAGCTCAGTTTGCCCAGTATCCTGTCACCTGAAGCAAAAAATGTTTCGATGGATAAATTATACGCACAGAGGGCAGATAAAGTACTGCGATAGATGGTTATTGCGTTTTTTAGTGACTGTAATAGTACGAACCAACCACTGTCAGTCTGGAGTCCCGAGTCTGAGCACAGACAGTCATTAAAATCCTCGAGTTCCCCGCTTAACAAACTTGTGAAAGCCTCTTAGCTTCTAGAGCTTCACTTGCGCTGCTTTTGATGGCGTTACTGTTTGCGAATCCTATGTTATAAAGAGGATTGAAAACCAAAGACTTCAAGTGTATACCACTCTCCGCCTTTTGTATTCATCTTCAGAACAACTCTGGTGGTCGTCTTCGCAGAATTGCGGCTGTCAGATGCCGGACCGGAACGATATGTTCTTTCGCTTACGAAGACATAGTCTTCCAAACCTTTCTCCAATCGCATTGACTTGCAGCCTCCACTGGGACTCAACGGATCTACGAAGAGAATCAGTGAGAAAGACGCAGAGTAAGTTTGCCTTACTTCCCCACTTTGATCCAAAAGATACGTGTCATTTCGATATGCTGGGCAGAGTAGTGCCTCTTAAATTAGACAGAGCGAGTGATTGTAACCAACTAAACGACTGAAACTTGAGAAAGATGAATGATTGAGAGACACGAACAACGCTTCGGTTCGAGGATGCAGCTAAGTCATCGATCAAACTTCCCTTTTGAGCCATCTTCGGGGCGGTTGTGCGTGTTAGGAGACCGCCAGCTGACGATTCAATTCAGACCTTACAGGCAACCCATTGTGTGTTTGTGTGGAGGGATCAACTGGTGGACCGAGAGTCAAGCTTCAATGGCTCCTATTTAATGTGGTCTACATGGCACTCGGACGCACGTGAGTTCCGAGACGCTCAACTCAATTTGGGTGAAGTCCCGATGTGTGATGAAGGAGACCAGGTCATGTATATGGGACATACAGACGGGCCGTTTTCAGCTCTGTCAACCACTGTCCCTAATTTCCGCGCCAACTGACCGGCTCGGAGTGGATTGATGTTTAGGAGGGGGTGAGAGAGGGTGAGCTCGTCCCTCTCAGCGCATATTCCTCACTATAAACAGTCTGAATCGCTAGAATCCATCACGGTGGGCCAGAGGCCGTGACTTGAAAGTTTGTTAACTGACGAGATAACTCGGGCCTCGCAGCCAACCTGCTGTGTGCTTGTATGGAGTGACCGACTGTTGGACTAAGGGAAAGGCTGCTATAGCTCCTTAATGGGGCCTCTATGGCCCTCCATCCCAGTGTGATCCTAGCCGATGTGGTGGCACGCGCCTAGGTGTAGGGGTATTTGCCGTGCCAATCACCTGCGCCCCCCCCCGCCTCCGGTCTCCTTGAGTACGTTTTGACTCCTATAGAATCAATCAAAGTGAGCTAAAGGCGGTGGCTTGGAAGGCTGCCAACTGACGGGATAAGCCGGTCATCCTGCCAGGACTGAGAAGCAGGCACCAACAGCCCCTCCCTAGGGTGGCCGATATGGTACCCACCCGCTTGGAATCCGAGCCCCCGCTCCTCCTTAATGTGTGAAATCCTGGCCCTTTGTGTGCAGGTCAGGGTGTGTGGCGGCACGCCTAAGTACGGATTCAGGCCGCGCCAGCCACCTGAAACCTATCGCACCGTCGGTCTTCTTGACTTCTTTTTGACACCGGACCCAGGTTCGTGAGGAGGAGAGTGTGTGTGTGGATACAGCGCAAGTCTACTATTACCATCACTAGTTCATGAGCATGTCACCGTCTCTTCTCCCCCCACCCTACTCTGAAGCACATGGTGGACATCGTCGGGATCGTGAGTCGAACTGTTGGTTGTGCTTGTATGTGCTGGTTTATGGCGCCGTCTGGGCGTATGCTCATGAAAAAGCGAGACTATAGATGCCGGAAGGACCACTTCTGACCTCCTAATCGACTTTATTCAGTGATATGCTGGCACTCCCGAAGTTTGAACCAGGGCAGGGTGGGTTGGAGAAACTCTTAAGCCTACAACTTACTCGCATAAATGTTGGCAGAATATAAGGAATTGGAAGGAACGTAAGGCCGGGAAGCGATTGTCCCAAGTATCGAAGTTTGGTGAGCAAACGTCGCTGAGTGGGAGTCTTGATCGAAATCTACACCGTTTAAAATGTTTCCATATACCCACAAAGGTCTACTAAGGCCCTTGGAACCAGACAGCAACTTGAAGCCAAAATTCTTCACATCCTGAGGTTACATACTGAGCAGCTCTGAGCATGCAAGTAGTCGCAATACCTATTAGTTTATTTGCCGTGACAGTTAGGTCAAATACTGTGGCGTGAAACCCGGGCGGTAGACCACAAAGATGCTTGTACTGGGGACGATATCAAAACGGACGGGACTCAACAGGTATACCAATCCGCTACTTGCGTACACTGCCCCGAGCTGGACTCTTGTACTAGCTGGAGGACCGAACTACAAATTAAAGCTTCAGGTGATTGTCAGGCCTTCGCCTTTGCTTAGCGTTGGCACAGAATTCTAACTGAGACTGATGGACGCGCACACAGTACTATACGATAGTTCAACTGCCGAAAGGGGAGATATTCCCCACCGTTTCACAGAGTGGATGCAGTCTTGATATCCGCATAAATTAGTTTATAGTGATGCGGACTTTGACTGCGTCTACCTCACCCTATCTTCTCAAAACAACCGCTTTCCAATTGCGAGGAAAATTTAGGACGAACAGAGCTGCATGTGTTTGGAGAGGCCCACCGAGTTGGAAGGCCCATCTTCGCATGTCAAATACCACCGTGTTCCACGATTCACCGGCACCATACTTTACTCAGGAGGCTGAACAGTTAAAAACAAAGTAAAATCTTATAGCCTCGAGAAACACGTTGAAATGTTTTGATTATTATGCACGAAATACAAAAGCCTACCGGGTCTTATGATAGCTGCGCACGCCGTTCCAATGATAGCGCTGACGAGATTTAGGAGAATGACGTATAAAATGCCGATGGTTCCAAGCCTTCCGTTCTTCTTCGGATCCAAACCCGCAATGACTAAAAGCGAGGCGATGGGGTGAAGAACCAGTTTCAATAAATGGAGCCAGTCATTAGAAAGCAAAGTCAAAGGTAGCACACATGCGCGAACATCAGTTGGCAACATAGTGACAAGACCACTGGTCCCAAGTCACCATGCATACGCCGGAAGCTTGACACAAATTTTCTTGGGTAAAATAAGTATTGTTGGTGTCTGTTCGTCTAAGGGATGTTGAGGCGTTCTGGAGGCCATAGGCTCCGATGACTCGTACATTGATCGGCACATCAAGTCGGACGCCGTATGCAATAGTCTCGATGAACAGTGGCAAAAGCGATGGCCAATCAGGACAGGATGCCAACATAGGCAATATATTATTGGTAGGAATGACGGAGCAGTATCGATTTTTCATTTACACCAAAAGTACTGATTGCTTTGAGCGTCTGTTACAAGTCCGTCGGCGGCCTGGGGAATCGACGTCAAAATTTCAGGAAATAACGCATGTCAAGTTTCCCGAAGAACCTATTCCCGTCAAAATTTAGAAAAAATATATTCGATTTCCATGGAGAGTGTGCATTTCACGCGGTAGGAATGCACAGCCAATATGGCAGTTCAAATGAAAATGCAATGGGGACTTGAAGAATGTTATCTTGACTACCGTTGTTTCCTTTCTTGTAGGTCTCCAAAAGGACTCAGTCAAATGGAGACTGATGCTAGTGCACCGTTAGATCAACTAAGGAACGTGGGTATTATTCTTTACCACATGGGCAATGTTATTCTGCCTACATTACGCGCCGCTGTGCGGTTGCTGGTTGGGCACGAGAGAGAGAGCCCCTAAGGCACAACGGAACGAGTGAGTTCCGTAACACGATCGACGAGCGCCCCATTAACATTGCATATTCCAGATCACAACCGACAGGACAACAAGCCCGTGGCTCAGTGGTTAGAGGCGTTAGACTTCTAACCAACAGGTTGCACGACCGAGCCTCAGGTTTTCCACACTCCAGAGTTGGGTACGACTGGCTGACGACGCCTAATAAGCCAGAAATGACCATTTCTTTCTCCCCTGTCTTTGTTGGTTGTTATTCTGCTTATATTACTCGTCGCTGTATGGATGCTGATTGTCTCCAGAGAGAGCCCTAAGGTACCACGGGACGAGTTATCTCCGCAACACGATCGATATACATGTATGTACATATATTAATGAGTTAAGGTTTGGACGAAAGTAGACTTACCCAGAAGTAGATTAGAAGATATTAGCGGAAGAATGGTTAGCTGCAGAAGCCTCAGGTAGATAAGACCAGGCATTCCTAGAGAACAGACGCACAATAAGGATCAATAATTTGCTTAAATGAAAAGCAGTATTCACATCCCTAAACGCATGTCCAAACAGAAAATGCGCCTCAAAAGAACAGGACTGGTGTCCATCCATTAATACGCATATGAGCCTTTTGGCCGCTTGCGCGGAAAATAACTGTTTTGACCTGATTTTTAGACATTAATTAACGCTCAAGAATGTCGTTACCAAAGGATCTATTTGTCCAATTGGCTTCGTTTAAATCACACAAATTGACATAAATCAGATTTTCTGTCACAAGTTAGATTATATTTCCTAGACAAGTAGGGATGCGGAAAGAGGTGGCGTGCCCTATGAGTCTCGATGACCGAAATTTCGATTATCGATCCATAACTCCTGAAACGTTTGCACTTCACTTATTGACATAATGCATTCTGGATAATGTCTTATTTTCGGATAACGTACGCTATACAGTAGAAAAGACAACAGTATTTAACAGAAATTAAAACCGCAGGATATCTGAATATTTCGCTAGGTAAATAATGGTTCCAGGTCAGGTTAGTACATTACAGTGTTTATTCGTTGAGAAGAATTAAACTGAACGGAGGCAATTTTTCAAGACAACTCTCGCCAAGTTGAATGCATTCAAGATATGCAGAACAGAGAAGAATGAATGATTTACTGCGAGCTATTGTTACACCAGTTTACAATACGTAGTCAAACAATAATTAGTTGATTGGTTGCAATACCGCGCGTTATAAAAAAGAATGGAGGGTTTCTAACCAAACGGTTGCACAAGGGTGTTTTCTAAATGTCGTTGTGCATCTACTATTCTAATGATCCGTTTTCTGCATGAATATTCATTATGCACTTTTACGAATTTCCAGACTTCCGGCATTTTTCGGTTTACCTAGGGAAGCTTCCGATCATCCACAAGCATATTATTAGACCAAATATTTGTTTCATGTTTTCAACTAGCTGGCAGTTGTTGGCTATTTTGTTGAATAAATTTTTCTAGGCTTCCGACTCATTTTAGACTTTTCCCGAATTTACCCATGCTTCACTGTTTACCCATCTGCTGTACAAGTGGACAAAAAAGCCTGTCGTAAACTTTTATACTTTGTCACTTTTCGATATGCATAAAACATGCATCCAGTAAATCTCATTTGGACGGATTGAAGAAATCTCACGCGCCCCGCACAAGTATTGACCGCAGTCGGCAGTGCAAAATCCCATGATCTAAATTCAGCGATACATCCTTACCAGTCCGCCGGACCCAAATTTGGATTATGACTGGCCGACGAGGTCGTGTGTGCGTGAAACGGACATTGCAGAATCCTCCGCCATTGTGGAGAAATCCCTGTGGTTAATGACCGGCCTTTTACTAGACAGCCGGGAGTGCTAATTGAGAATCTGCTTTGGGAAGGCAGCGCAACAGTCTGTGGTAAGTGGAAGCCATCGATCATTCCAGGCTATACCCTATGAGTTGCTAAAATTCCCAGAGCGTCTATCGGAAGAAAACCTGGTCTGTAAAATACACAAACTTCGCTAGTTTCATACCCCTACAACATGTGAAACAGGTTACTGTTCATTTTCATGGAAGATTCTCGTTTATGTTCAGCCAAATCCGGTGCTACCGTGCTCAGGTTCTTTTGGCGTCCTTTCCACCTGAAACCATCTCCACAGGTAAACTTACAGACCCACTTTTGAAATAATATGATGCCAAAGGAGGAAACGGCGGAAACCAGTAGAAGAGATTTATTCTTTACAACTATCTTGTAGCGGTTTGGGCCCTCAACGTGTGGCCGGCTCAAGGCTTGTGCTAGCAGATGACTCAGTGAGTGTTTCACATGATAACCAGTCTGCATCTGCCCGATGGATGAACTGGATGACGCCGTCCTTTGTGAGCGTCTGCGACTGGCTGACCTCAGAACTGAACCTGAGCGTGCTCCATCTGTCTGAGAGGGTTGAGCGTGTGATTCCTAATGCGTGTGTGCGTGAAAGGCACGTAGGGCTTATGTGCATATGAGGGGCTTTCGACGGAAAATTGATTATCCATTGTGGACTGAAACATTCTAGGCTGCCATGGCGAGTAAGGTAACTCTGACTAAAGGGGTAGGAGAGTGAAGGCAGAGAAAGTTACTTCGTATGCAGTTTCGATCC